CCATATCAGACACTAGGGTTTCTTTTCTCTTTTTAAAACACTTGTAGCGCCGTTGGAATTCTTTATGCAACGTTTTATCAAAGAACTTTTTGTTCATCTCTTCTTCTTGGTGTGTAATATCCAACATTGTTGCTATGTAATATCCAACACAAAAATCGTATTCCTTGGTGTGTAATATCCAAGAATTCGTAAGAATATCAGGAGATTTTCACATCTTCTGTGAGACCACTCAATCCACGTAACTTTGAACCTTGAGACCTCGTTGTTTCTGGTTGCAAAGCCTATCCACTACTTAAGTCTGCTTGCCGATCTTGGAGGATCATATCAATTGTTCTACCTTGATCGTCACGTATCTCTCATTTTGTTCGATTCAAAGTGTTTAGAACCCAGTTTCAATCCCATAAATCATTTATCCGCTGCATCATTCAAGGATCTTTAGAGATCAGATTCAATCAACCATTCAAAGTGACTCCTTGGGTCGAAATCCTCTCTAGGATCGTATCAGTGACTAACCGTAGAGGATACAAATCCTAAACTAGGAAGAGTGGTTTCTTCTATAGTGAATAAATCTACCTCTCAAACATAAGAGTTCCTAAAATTCTATACCGGCGAGACGAGGCCTAAACTAACCAGATCCACACAATACTCCCAGAAACAGTGATGTTAGGGATTAAACCAATGACTTGAAACTGCCTAAGTAAAACCCTTTGAACTGACAAAGATTACGACATGATCTTTGTGTAGAGACAAAAACCAAACCCAACATCAATCAAGACCATACAAAACTTGGACTAACCTCAGCATATGGCCGACCCATATGAAGGCTAGAAGCAAGAGAAATTGAACCTAATCATCGAAGATAGAGAGGAAATGGCAAACGTCTTGCCGTAAGACATATATCTAAACAAACCAAACTTGTAATATTTCGGTTCAAATTCACCCATCAATTTTTCAGCCTTAACCAAACCAATTTTTCCTCTAGAATCGAACATAACTTTAAGTTTTTTGAATCTTTTTTCAAACCGAACAATCCAAACTTCTGAAATTTTAGATCGAACATTTTGTTTGGGTCGAATTTAATGCTAGTTTAAAACGACTAAGCAAGAAAAAAAGTCTTCCCGCCAAAGACAAACCATGCTTAAGTCGACAGGCCGAAGGGCTTCCGAAGCCATCCTACCAAAGCCATTATGCCGAAGTCATCATTGCAAGTAAGATATTTGAGTTAGATTTCCAATGGACTTGGAATCATGCCATTTGGAGTTGTCGTAGGCAAAATACACCCAAGTTACCGAAGACATGTCAATATGGCCGAAACCACCATGCTAATGTCACTAGGCCGAATAGGTCCTGACAAAGACATTATGCTGAAGACACGATGAATAAAACTATATTTGAGTTAGCTTTTTGATAGAGTTGGAATCATATCATATGAAGTTGTGGTTGGCGAGATATACCCGATTTACTGAGGACATGTTAATCTGGCCGAAGCGGCCGAAGTGATGGCATCAGGAAGACTCTACCTTAATACAAAAAAACTGAACTTTAGATGCGAGATATATAATTGAATCAGCTTTCACTCAGAAGAAGTTTGAAGTCATTTGGATCACCGATGAGAAATTTACATCAATTATTGTAGAGACATGTCAATATAGTCGAAGAGACTTTAGCACGCTTTTCTTTGGCACAGGACACGGCACGGCGCACTCCTTTCGGCATGGGATGCGGCCCGGTATGATCCTCTTAGGCACGGGATACGGCCCAACACAATCCTCTTCGGCACGATCTTCTTCGGCACGGGACGCGGCTTGACACGATCTTCTTTGGCATGTTACGCGTCCTGGTACAATCCTCTTTGGCACGGGATGCGACCTGGAACGATCCTCTTTGGCACAGGATGCGTCCCGGTGCTTTCCTCTTCGGCACAACACAGGATGCGTCGTAGTTCTCTTCGGCACACATGATGACTCGATACAAGACGCGAGACATGTTCCCCTTCGGCATGAGACGCGGCTCGGAGATAGTTGCGGCATAGATATCCCTTCGGCATGATGCCGAAGCCGTAATCATGCCGAAGGCGAGTGTACCGATGACACACTGCCAAAGGAAACCAACTCAGGATGATTTGCCGAAGACGAAGACAAGAAAGTTGTCGAAGACACGGTCGTGAAGAATGGGCCGAAGACGTACAAGCTGAAATGACAAGTTTTACCTAAGGCAGCCCAGAACGGAGGCCCATGAGATCAACCGACTTCAGTGGAAGCGAAATCTGAAGACTTAGATATTTTCTTTTTTGCTTTAGGAAGATAAGACGAAGAGGAAAAGAGATAAACAGAAATTTGGGAAAGTTAGGATAGTTTTCTTTATCGTTTTAGAATTAATCTAGCCGATTTAGATCAACATGTACATCTCTTGAGGAAGGGATCCAAAATCATTCACAAATACTTACATGCAAAAGTTTTATTTATAGCAATAAATCCATCTTCTGATCATTGTTCGTGTGGTTTAACCTATAAATCTCAGTTCCTTATAAAAGTCTCAACATATCAATTGTGTTAGTTTCGACTACCACACATTCCAAATGCACACTCCTAATGAAAACCCAATAAAGCAAGAGGATGCGTAATTAATGACAAAGCTTGAAAGCTAATATGTTGTAGAATGTTGACATGATTTTGGAGATTTGTCACCATGATTTCTGCTGTTGTTTCCTTACAATATAGAACTTCGCGTCCGAATGAATGTTTAGGCTTGGGCTTATTAACCGGAATCTAAAAATCAAACCAAAGTGGATCTAAAAATACCCGAACCGAAAATGCCAAATTACCATAATGGTTCTTCTATTTTCAAAGTTTGGGTGCCCGAACCGAACCATGAAGCGAACGGATATCCGAAATACTCCAATCATAAAATAACCTAAAAATATTATAGTTATAGGTCGGGTATGTTTGGATAGTTTGGATAATGTTTTTACATTTTTTTGTTATTTTCTGATAATGTTCGGATAATGTTCGGATAGTTCGGATAATGTTCGGATAGTTTGGGTATTTTAGCCGAATTACTAAAAAATTATCCGAAAATAATCAAAATTATCCAAAATTACTTGAAAGTTATTTGAAAATTTCTCGAAATTATCCAAAACGTACCCGAGTTATTAGGAAAAAAAGAATCGAAAAAAATTTCTGACTATATTTGGTTATTAATCGGTTCTCAACAAGCCT